GTAGAAAACCATAACAGTAGCGTATTACCACAGAATACATATTACCTGGTCGAGATTTGGTCAGAATCATCTGTTATATTGAAAGGCCGATGTTTTGTGAAGACGGTAGACAACGCCCTTTCACGTGGTTTAATTTGCTTTAATACATTATTATTAAATTTTAATAAACATCAACCTCAGTTCTTACGCATCATCATTCTATGCGTGTTGTTAATGTTCGAACTGTTTCTGAATTATCACTGTTTGGGTTTCCCTCTTGGATAAGAGATACGATTTCAGGGTCGACGTCAAGAAGATGGATACGTTAACGTGCAGCAGGCACAGGCGGATGCTACCGCATTATACGAGGCAGGCGAAAAGAAGCTTGGAACCGATGAGTCAATTTTCAATAGCATCATAGCTAATCAGAGCCGATCTCAGTTATGCATGGTGTTCGCTGAGTATGGCAAAGTAGCTGGTCATGACATAGTTGCTGCCATAGAAAGCGAATTCAGTGGAAACTTGAAAGAAGCCTATCTGACCATTAGTAAGTTCGATTCAATATGTATGGCTTTTTAATTACTAATCTAAATTAGGGTAGAAGCTTTATTCATCAAGTCTTTACTGGACATTACTAAACCTAAATTCTTATAGTTAAGATATAAATACATTATAACTTTTTCATTCGCAGCCCGTTAATGAAATGACAGATGCGAGCCACAGATTTTGACACTTAGTACCAACGCATTTCCATACACGCCGTAGTACTGTCTGGTTACAACTGATTATCAGGCAACTAAACGCCTTATATAATCAAAATGTCTCGATATGAAGTGAGTGACTGATTGAAACCATATTTTTACCGTCACTTTTCATAACTTCACATATTAATTTAATCTTTGCTATTCACTTAATGCTTAAAACTTTTTTATCAAGTTTTTAATAACAACTTAGCTTTTACTTACAACCACAGAAAGGGAGGATTCATTACACGAATCCACTGATAAACTTGTGCGGCAGTTAACTTGCAAAAATTTGCTTTAGTCCTTTCTGCTGTCGTTTAAGGTTATGAAACGGTTAATAAGTTCTTAGAGCAAAGAGGTTAATAATAGCGTGATCCTGTTGCATTTGAACGTGCTGATGCAAGTTGCTCTTTGAGCATGAATTTCCCAAAGGTCGGTGACGAACTCGGCTTCTATCTCCAAAGGTGCCAAATTAGAATCCGGAGAGGGCCGATCTCTATCTTAACCGCTAATTCTTTTGAACCTGGAATTCACCTCAAGACGTTATGGCACAGCCAGCAGAAAAATGGACAGAAAGTCGTTGATTCGCGAACAAATGGGACAGTTTGATGGTCTGATGGTCAGACTAGCAGGTACGAGATACTTCATGCTGTCTGATGCAAGTTCCTCATAATTCTGCAGTTGCCTTGACCCATCTGATAGCTACTTATTCAATGTGATAGTCAGCAGATGATGCAACCCCAGTTGTTATATCCAGCATCCTTTGAAACCAGTATGATCGAACGTCTGTCACAACTGCTTATCAGACTTTCTTTAGAGAATCCAACAATGAAGATGAATGCGCCAAGGCAGACCCAAATTTCAGGACGTGTTAAAAGTTGTTCTACTTAACTGACTGTCAGGAAAGCACAGTGGTTGGTCGGTTTCGACATGGCGATTTTATGAATGAACGAATCATCGTTTCAAATTAATCGTATGGCTGGTACGAAACAGGTTTTAGCTATTTTCAAAGAAAATAGGCAGCGGAGATAATGCAGTTAGCTACAGTTATTTCCCTGAAATTATTTCATCTGATGGCATTCCAAGCAACAGAATAGTCAACCGGGGAGACTGTGACACTTCTATGCTTACTTCATCAGCGAGAATTCAAACTCCATCTTGGCCAGCCACACTAATCAGCACAAATTTAACTTTGAAAGATTAAATCGCATTTTTCTATCTCACCCATCTAGTACTGATGCTAAGCACGTAAATTGAGGGATTCAGAAGTCGGTACCACTTTGTTAACGATGCCAGCATCGTTGTGAAGGTCTTCAATAACCCGGAATGTAGGCAACGATTGAAAAAAAGGATCTTCAGCCAGGAAGAACTACGATCTCTTCTTTAATCCTCAGCTATGAGCCCGTAGCGGCTGTTCAATGGAACAGTGATAACGGAAGACGAAGAACTGGTCATGAATTGAAGCATTTCTGGCCAAGCAAAAAAAAAGTTTAATTACATCCCAGAATGAACGAGTTGAGCACCGCCATCCGTATTCATCGTCCAAACGCAATCGATGATGTGCTTCAACTCAAACAGAAAATCACTTTCGCTTAATAAAGAGCATCGTAATAACTTTGAGACGGGGTCAAACGGTATATATATCTGGCAGAGGTGTAATCGTGTTCATCTTATAATAAAAATCATGACATTGTTTTATAGTGCCAGTAGGGTTAAACTTTGTCTCAGCTGACGATGGGTTAGAAAAACGCCGTTATTTCGTAAGTAATGGTAAAAATGAAACAAAAGTTACTTCAATACTTGCATACCAAAGCTTAAATTGCGAACATAGCTTTACAGAGTATTTTATGGCGTATTATTGTTGACTGTTCATGATGGCTATTGCTTACTAGCGTTTTATTTTCAGTCCAATGTATAAGAAACCGGCCGGAGTATTTTGCCGACAAACTCCACAATGCGATGAAAGGATTTGGAACCGATGACGAAACGCTGATACGAGTTATAGTAAGCAGGTCAGAGAGGGACCTCGTTCAGGTGAAAGATCAGTATTATGAAAAGTATCAGAAATCGCTTGAGTCGTGCATAAAGGTACGCCATGTTTATGCTATTCTTCGCACATATATAGCTTTGTTACAATATCTAATTTTGCTTATATATAACGTTAAAATAACGAATTTAGGGAGAGGGAGGTTAGCGGGTTACTTTGAGCTCTAGAGTCGAGGCATTCAACTCCACAAGCGGCGTTCAACTCCACTTCTCTTAGCAGCTGCTAATTTCCTTAGACAAGGAATTCACCCAGCCGAAATACGGCCAACAGACCATTTACCTGGAAATGATAGAAACAGGATGGTGGTTTGATGTTATCATGCCAAGAGGTGTGAGAAATACGGTCGCGGTCTTTGATGGATGCAAGTTGCCCTTACGTAGCAAGCTTAGGGTTCAGATATAGATTCAACTTAGAGTCAAATCAAAAATTTTTGGCAAACACTTGTTCCTCCTGAGAAACAACCAATGTTACGCGTGTATTTTCTAGCGCATTATAAGTGCACGTAA